CAAAAGTAGACTCTTTCGACTAGTTAGTCGGCAAACTTGGACAGTCAGTCAGCATATGTCGTTTAGGCACTCGGCAAATTTTAAAAAACGAGGACTTTTATTAATTTTATTTATTTTAAAGTTGGCAAAAGTTGTAATTGCACCCCCTACCACGTGACATCTACTCGCGCTGGCCCTGTATCTATGTTACGGATAGTATAAGTAAACCATTATTTTATTTAATATCATTTTCATTTGAGAATAGTATATTTTTTGATAAATTAAAATCGGCTAAAATTCACCCAATTTTTAAAAATGGTGATTTTTTTTTCTGTTTGCAACTACCTTCCTATATCACTACTCCCTTGAAAAATTTTGATTTTTCCCAAAGTTGAAGTTTTCTTACTTTTAAAATTAAGTGGAAAAAGGTTATCTTGTCAGTTGATAATATCTTTGAGTTCTTTTGTGTTTATACTTTTTAAAAAAGTGTGTGGTTCCTGAATATATTGTTTTATTTTGAAATATTTAGTTTTATATATATTCTTTACGTTATTTTATATTTTGAAATATCTAGTTAAATTTAAATTTTATTTTTTTAACGTCATTTATTGTAATTATTTAACTGGTTTTATTATTACGGTATTGTAAAACGGTTCTCAGTGACAGGATCTTACGATGCTCTTTGAGTCTCCGTGTTCTGATATTTAATGTACAACAATATTTATACCATAGTATATTGTAATAAGAATAAAAAAATAATAATAATAAATAAATAAATAAAAGGGAACAAGTACTAGGAGTATTTGTTGATCTCTCTAAGGCATTCGATAAGGCATTCGATTGTAGATCACGGAACATTTCGCTTTCAGATAATTACGGCATTAAAGTCAGATAATTACGGCATTAAAGGTCTAACATATGGGTTAAAAGTTATCTTTTTGATAAACAACAGTTTGTTGTCCTGGAGGAGTCAGGAGTTCTTGATATTGTTTGCTAAGTCCCACAGGGATCAATCTTGGGACCTTTATTATTTTTAATATATATTAATGATATGAATAAAGCTTCTCATAAAATATCGTCAATTATGCATGCAGACGATACAAATTTATTCTACTACAAATCTGATGTTAAAATATTGTTCGAAACATTTAAAAATGATTTAGAAAGCTTTAACCAATGGTTTATAGCTAATAAATTATCTTTAAATAGTGAAAAAACAAGTTTTACTCTCTTCCATAAAGTAAGACAATCAGCTAATATTCCGATAAAGTTTTCAAAACTGTCAATCAATAAAAATGAAATAAATCGAGTAAATCATACAAGGTTTTTAGGAGTAATATTTGATGAGAACCTATCATGGAAAAAACACATTAGTCTCATTGAAGCAAAAATATCTTCTGCTTTAAGTGTATAATATAAATCCTTTTTTGATTATAAATCACGCAAAATGCTTTACAATGAACAACACTATTCATTGTCATGTCTTCTACGCTAACATTGTTTGGGCTAAAACACACAAAATTAAATTATTAAGATTACAGAACCTACAGAACCACGCATGTAAAGCAGTAAACTATTTAAAGAGATTAAAAACCCTTCCCCTGTAATGAAATACTTGAATGTGTTAAATATATCAAAACCTAATTCGCTTTAAAAATTAATATTTATGTGTAAATATAAGAAGAACTTCCAGCTAGCACACTTTAATTGGGCGAACGTATATAAAACCATCGCGAACGTCGGCTCTTTTTTCCGATGCAAAACCAACGTTGATCCAATGTCATTTGGTTAATGATAAAATTATTACCGACGGAACTAAAAACATCTGGCAAATTTACATTGGTCCAATGTATGTAAAAGCATCACAAAAAGTTAATTGTTTTTACAATCTAAACTCAATGTTGATCCAATGTATATATTTTGACGTTGATTCAATGTATATAAATCAACATTTTTTCAATGTATGCAAAAACATCGCAAAAATTTGATTGTTTTTACGATCTAAACCCAACGTCGATCCAAAGTATATATCTCGACATTGATTCAATGTATATAAATCAACTTTTTTCCAATGTATGTAAAAGCATCGCAAAAAGTTGATTGTTTTTATGATCTAAACCCAACGTTGATCTAATGTATTTATTTGAACATTAATTCAATGTATATAAATCAAGGTTGATCCAATGTATGTAAATAGATCGCAACAGGTTGATTGTTTTTACGAACTAAACTCAACATTGATAAGGCACAAATCCATACTGTACTCGAGACGTTCATTACACTTATATCTATAATGTATGTTTATCACCCTAATGATACAAACCACATGGTGACTACTTATAAAACGAATAATTCTACTCCATTACCAGTTCTATCCATGCGTCATATTTACGCTAGACACTAATAACAATTTAATAGCACAACAACTAATGACTTTCCTTGACTATTGTTTACTATTCTTATTTATTTTTTACTACATTTTACTTATATCAGTTTTAAATATTTTTCCACTTTGAGGCTCGCAATTTAAACATTGAGTTGCAATTTAAACATTGCAATGTATGCGACCAAACATTGCTATTGCGAAATTATATAACTTAAATAAAATCTTGTGTGATTATTAAAATATCAAACCACAATCAACACAAACATGATTTTTGTTTCGATGATCAAGTATATAAGGATTAATAGTCAACACCTTAAATGCATATGGGAATTAATTAATTAATGTATCTATAAATATACATATTATATCTATATAAATATATATTATATACATACACAATAAAATAGAATTTAATGAAAACTTAATTCCGAATGATATTGTATAAAATGTTTTGCCAATTAAAGTTCAACGTTGAATTAAAGTAAATACAACGTTGTGCCAACTTGAAATACAACTCTTTACAGTCGATTACGTTATGGTTTAGAAGTATTAGTATTATGTTATCAAGCTTATTGACACAAACAGAACAACCAGTTTGTTTTTTTCAATTTTTTTTATTATTTTTATTATATGTATTATCATAAAAATTTCGCTGCTCTTATCATTCAAAATTAAATTGAGTCTGTAATATGACTCAGTTATTGTTAATACTTTTATTTAAATAGATATAATTAAATAAAATAGTTATTATTTTTAGTGCACCATACTTTTTTTTTTCCATCGTCAAAAAGTTATAAAACTTCTTTTTGACTCTGTTGCTATTACAGATAATAACAATGCATTTTTCCCATTATTTTTTCATTAGAGAATTTCTCGAGAGATTTTTCTGCTAAGTTAAAAACTCAGCATCAAAATCTACAACTCTGCAATAACATTTTGTGAAAAAAAAATGTTCTACAACAATTTTGCAGAGGAAATTTTGCTCCACCAAACAATGTTACAGCCATAAAGCTCAGTACTGTAATAAATGAGAAAATGTTAACTACTTTAACAAATACTATGCTACTATGGTACTTCAAGATAGGTTTAATATAAAGCTCGTCAAGAAGTTTAATACATGTTTTTTGGCATTTGTTGCTTTGAAAAAATTATTTGGAGAAAATGCCATTTAAAGCTAAACAATCTTTTAAAGGAGGTTTGGACTTGGAAAAAAGGTTTGAACTCGGAGGAATTGGAAGTTCAAAATCTTTTATGATGCACTTGTAGATTGATCGTAAAAAGGAAAAATCCTCAAATGCTCGCACAGTTATTTCATTTGAGTGCTATTTTTTTCTAGTTATGTTTTATTAATAGACAAAATTTATTAATTAATAACTTAATTTTTGCTTCACAGCTGTTCAAAAATCTCAATGCTTCTAAATTACAAAAAAAAATTGTTCAAGTTATAAACTTGGTTAGATGAAAAAGACATAGCAGTAGATTTAAATCTACAACAAAATGCTCCAAAACTCAATTTTGTTAATTATGGAATAGCATTTTTGTCTGATCAAAATGTCTGAAGACTGAATACATATATATCGCTAAATAACTAACTGATAACATAAAAACTGATTTCATTACTTTTTAACTATTCTTGTAAAAAATTTATTTATTAAAAATTTTGTCTTGAGAGTTAAACATTTTTAATTCATCCGCCAGCGAACAGTAAAAAAACTTTTAGATGATTTTCTTTGTTGCTAGAGTTTAGATAACTAAAATTGAGTATTCTGAAGGGAACCTAAACTTGACTTTACGCAACAAAATACTCGTGAAGCATCGCGAGGTCTCTACGTAACAATGTACTGATGGAACATTACGAGGTCTCAACTTACCGTAATCTCTAACATTAGAACAATCTTTAATGTCTTTCACAAACTACGGGGTTTTTTGTATCAGAATAATAAATCTTAATTTTGTAATGGAATCTTTAGTTGAACACGGTGAATAATAATGCCCAATTATGTATCAGGAGTGTTAACTCTTGATAGGTATCTAATGTTTTCATTCATTAGTGTTAATTGGAATTCAAAATGTTTTAACTCTATTGTGAGGGTTATAACTACCAGTACAATAAGTAAAAACTTTGACGAACCCTTTTTAAAATAATAAATCGAACCTTTTTTTTTTACTTCTTAACTAGCTTGTATTCTGTTAATTTGCAAATTAGTAAAAATCATGACGGATGCTACTAAATTATATATTTTATTTAAATTTTCAATTTTATCTATTTATGTTTACGTAAACAAACGTATACTGTAAGTTTTTTCCATCAATAATATATTAACTAAATAGTTAATGCTATAGTAATAATTATACTTACTTTTTGATTGTCGGTATTTTAAAAATAAAAAAACTTTCCCGTATTTATTTGAAAAAAAATGTTTTTCTCGTTTTTAAAGTATAAATTTAACCTGCCTCTAATTTTTTACCACTAGCAAGGTCTGTTTTGTTGTATACCACTAGCAAGGTCTGTTTTGTTGATATAACAAAATTGACCTTTTTGTTGTTTACATTCAACCAAGCAAATATTAATTAACTTAAAAAATATTCTTTATTAACAAAACAATAAGGTCAAAAAAAAAAAAATTTATCTTACATAATGGCCCTAAGTATTCTGCGGAACAATAACAAACATAATCGTTTTCGGCATATATTGGTATGCATAAACCATTGTTTTTACAAGGTGATCTATCACACGAAACGCTCTAAAAAAGTTTTATTATATTAACTTTATTTAAAACGTTTTTATACAATAAAACAAAGTTCAAGTAGCATAATGATTGAAAAAATTCTTTTTTAAAAGGTAATTCAAAATAAAGACAATTTATTTATGCATCTTTTTCAAACCTGAATACTAGCATGAATCCAACCAACTTTTTTTTCCAATTGATTTGAGTTCGAATATTTATTTTCTGATAATAACTGGCACTGAAACAAGCTTTCTTTGTTTTTAAAAATATTATACGAAGTACAACTTGTCGTTTTAATACACCTGTTCATACATAATGATTGATGAGATGCACTCATGTTAAGCAATATAGCCTTTGACACTAAGCGTGTTTCAGTAATTCTACTCAGGGAAATAAAGGTTACTTTTGATTTCTCATTATTAAGATTGATGAAAGATGAAAATTGGCATTTGCAATGAAATATAAAGAAGTAAACTATTAGGTTTAAAAAACTATTAAAAATCATCAGTTTTCAAAGCTATATATTTTGCTGTCGTCGTTGTTTTTATTAATTTTATAAGTTTTTGCTGAAAGTTTTTAAACTTAAGTTTCATAAAAAAAATATTATTGAAACTTACGTTTACTTTAACAGTAAACTAAGTTAATGTATTATCTGTATTACTCTAGTAACGATTATAAATTTTTCAATTGAAAAAAAGCCATATCAATTTTTAAAACTTTTCATAAGACTTTTTTTATAAACAAAGTTACGAACGAAAAAATTCGAATTTCAATAGCATTATTTAATAGTCCAAAAATTAAATAAAATTTTATACAAAGTTTTTGGGCTTTTTATAGACTTCATCACAAATTTTTAAAAACAATTAGTGATGTTAAAAATACTTTTAGTACGTTTCTATTTTTAATAAAATAACCGGAAGTTGTTTGTTTCAGAATTGTTAGAATTTATTAAAAAGTAGTCAACATATTTATTAAAAAGTAGTCAACTTATTCAACATTAACCTATATATAATTTATGTACAGGGTCTTCTAAATCTTATAAAAATTCCTGGAGATAATTTAAATTTTGTTTAATGTTTCGAAAAAAACTTTTAAAGGTTAAAAAAGTTTAATTTTTTTTTTTTTTTACAATAAAATAAAATTCTGCATTTTTAAAAGTTTGAAATTACCCAGTGGGAAAAAAGTTATCTACAGGCAAATAAAAGGCGTCTTTTTTATGACTTGTTATGTCTTTTTATAATCAGCCTAAATAAAGACGTAGAAAGACGTCTTTTAAAAAGACGCCTTCAAAAAAGAGGTCGAAAAGACGTCAATCGGTTGTTTATAAGATTGAATCATTTGCTTAAGAAAATTAAAAATAATTATTGCTAATAGCAATATAAACAATAATAACAAAGAATGGTTTTAACCCACAGTATCGTAACTACAATATCTTTATTACGTTCTGATTGGCCCGTTTTTTGTTTACAAAATACTTTTATAACTTTATTTTATGTGAAACGTTAATGTGTAGGAAATTTAATTAAAAATTAACTTTTTACGGTAGGCAGGTTTATTTTATAATTTTAATATAAAGATTTATTTAATAAAGCAGGTTTATTTAATGATTTTTAAAAAAATATTTTGTAAAATATACATAATAAAAATGCATATATATATTATAGTTTGTTTTTAGACTAATTTTTTAAAGTATTGTGCTTCAAGAACCTTGTTTATTACATATTATATTAAAAAATTTATTTTCAGACGAAAAATAAAACCTGTAAACAATTTCTCTCTATATTTACTTGTTCAAGTGCCAGTGAAACGAACGATAGAAAAAAAGAAGCATTCAGTAGGCTTGCAATTTTTTTAATTTTTTTTATTTTTAAATGATCTTAATAATTTTATTGTTTTTATTTAGTTGAATGATGAAATTGTTTATACAAAAGATTGACTTTTTAAAGGAAATAACATATTTAACTTTTATGTTAAATATGTTATTTCCTTGTTAACTGTTGTCTGACATTAACAAAGCAACTAAAAATATACATATAATGACAACAGATTTATCTTTAGAACTGTTCGCAAATTTTTTGGTTTGGATACAAGAAACCAAGTGAAAATGATACTGGAAAGGTACACTTTCTTATATCTAAACATCATTGCAGCTTTGTAGTCTTCATTTTTGTATATGTGTATTTCATCTGTGTTGCTAATGATATCGCCAGTTTTTATGATTTTATATTTTTAAGTAAAGCATTCTTATGTTTCAGGCTAAAATAGAGCTTTGATTAATATTTTTTTATAGTTTAAATGAATAACAACTCTCAAGGTGTATTAACTGAATTATCTTTTTGTTTTGATAGTATTTATTCAATAACGGACTTTTAAATTGTTATGAGTCTACAACACCTAATTTCAGCAAAATTCAAGTAAAAAGTCATGTTAAAGAAGACAGAAAATAATCAATATCTGTTTTAATAACTTGGCTTTCATAGCAAATCTGAGAGGTGCAAATGTTTAGCTTGATTTAAGTACTACATAATAAAATACATCGTTGCACAGTCATTTTGACGGTTGTAAATTTATTTAGCACACTCATTTTTATATATTTTTAGACTGTTTACCGTTTGACTCCTGTCCTAATCTAACCTAGTGGGTTCAAAAAGAAGGGACCGCGCTGGAAACATGAGTGGATTAAAAGGATCAGCCCTTTTTGAATTATTTGTCGGTAAGTAACATGTACTCCACTCAACTAATCAAGTTTCGTTTGGTTTTTTGTATTACATTTAAGCAATAGACTGTTTTTTATGTTCACTTGTTTTTTAGAAGTGGTAACCAGCTAGAAGTCGTAACCAGCTTGTATGAAAGGATTTCTCGACGTGAAGTTGGTAATTTTATTCAACCATGCCAAAAAAAATAGAGCTTGCTCAGGAAACAGAAAAGAAAGAAAAAGATGAAATATTATTCTGTTGAACAATACTATTGTTTTATTTATAAATTATTCTTCTATATTTAAACATATAAAAGATGTAGAAAACGCTTCCTCTTTTATATTGACATCTAAAAGAGGTTTTTTTCTTAGCATCGGAAAAAGCTTTTTATCATACTTTGTGTAGCTTTTTATCATACTTTGTATATTTGTATACTTTGTTAGAAAAGTAGGAATACTATAGTATATAAGATACTACAGTATACTAATAAGTATAACAAAAAAGTCGAAAAAAAGATGTCGTTTAGATTTGCATATTCGACTAAAAAGAGGCGTCTTAAAGACGCATTTTTTTATGTCTTTTCATGACAAGTTTAAGATAAAAAAAGACGTCTTTTCGATGTCGAAAAAAGATGTCTTTTAAACTTGCACAATCGATTAAAAAAAGACGTCTTAAAGACTTCGTAAATAAGACTTTTAAAGACGTCTTTTTGACGTCTTTTTTCCCAGAACTCTTGGTATACAATCAAAATTTTTTTAAATTTAGTTCCAACTGTTAACACTTCTACGTTTACAAAAATATCTAGAACTGCAGTTTCAAAGTTATTACAATATCTAATACGGCTCGAAGAAATTCAACACCAAACAGGAATTTTGACTTTCAAAAAACTTAGGAACGTTCAGACGTCTTTCTTTTTATGTACTCAGATGAAATTATAGAAAACGCTTCGAAACGGCGTCAAAAGCCGTTCCGAAGAGATTTGTATAAAACGTCTGAAGTCAGCCTTTAAAAAACTTCATATTTAACATTAAAAAAGGGTTTAGATAAAGTTGTAAGATAAAGTTACATAAGACCTTTTGTTAAGGATATACAAAATATGTTGCGAAACGTTTAAAAGACGTGCATAAGGGTTCAAAATTTGTTAACATTTAGTACCACTAAATTACATTAGAAGTAACATAAAACTTCAATATGTAAAAACCATTTATTTATTTAAATTAAAAGTACAAAAAAAGAAAAAATTGTCTCAGCAATTTTTGCTAACACTATTCTCGTATTTTAGATGAACTCATGAATCGATATGTCGTCGCATTCAGTTATTAATTTAAATTATTTATTAAACAGTTATTAGTTTAAAGCAGCCCTGACGCAGTTGTAGCGCACTTGCCTCGGAAACGTAAGACAGGTGTTTCAAACTCCACCCAGACAGCCTCCCGCTAATAGCCCAATGCTGGCCCAGTTCCGCTTGCGACTACGGCGCGATGACGGCAGTCGATCACGGTCAACGGCCATTGGGCCAGCACTGGCCCGCTACCATGGGCCAGCATTGGCCCGCATCGTTCGCCAGCACTGGCCTGCGATCGTTTGCCAGCACTGGCCCGGGATCATTTGCCAGCATTAGCCCACGATCGCTAATCAGCACTGGCCCATTTTCTATTACCAGTACTGATCCGTGATTATTTTCCAACATTTTTTCGTGGTTGCGTGTTATTAATACATTAGGACGTTATTAGTAGCTGTTTCTGTACAAATGTAATATCCCGCATGAATCAAACAAATAAGTACTTTTCGAAATTTATTCCAAATTAAATCGAAAAAAATAAATAAGTATTTTCGAAATTTACTCCCAACCAAAAGTGAGTTAAAAAATAATGATATAAAAAATAAAAAAATGTTATTAAAAGTTCAAATTGTTATTTATGCAAATAATTTTTTTATACAAAGAACGTTCCTCTCGAGCTTTTCGTCCGCTATTTCGATCCCCAAAAAGCAAAAAATATCTCTTCAGTTAATGTTGAAACTCTTCTCCTGATTCTCCTGAGGTTAAAGCTTTTATTTTCACAGCATCTAAATAACACAAAGTAAAACTATGTGTGAAAAATAGTAAACAATTAAACTAAAATATATGATTAAAATGTACATTACACTCACATAAATAAACGTTAGGATAATTAAAAAAACATCTTTATTTAAAAAATTCTGCACCTCAACCCTATTGTATTTAATAAAATAACACTAGATATAAAATTTGAAACAATATTTAAACATAAAACAAGTTCATATTATTATCGAAAAAAAATATATATATAAAAATAACTCCATGAATAAATTGAGAGATTACTATTAACCAATGCAATGAAGTGTTTTTTTGCTCACATTCGCAAGAAACCATCTAACAGATAAACATTCATTGGATGTCACTTAAGACCCCAAAAACTAAAATAAATAAAAAAATTAACAATAATGAAACAGTTAAATTCAGTTTACTAATGCTTACTATGTGCTTCCATTTTATTATTAGATGCAACTGATGATACAATACTGATTTAGGGATCTATGAGAGCTTTAATTCATCCAGCAACTGATCAGCACGCAACTAAGTTGATATCATCTCAATAGGCAACAAAAAATTTTTTCATTTTCCTTCAATCAAAGCACATTTTTTAGAATTAAAGCGCTAAAAATAAATTAAGAAATTGTCACCTTATAAAGCACTCTTTTAAATAAATTCTTCATTAAAAGAAAAAACTTTCCAGTCAATAAAATTCAATACCATAAAAGTGGATGGGTCTTTATCCCATCAGTTGTTTAATTCTTTGCTTTCGAAAAAAATATGTCCATCAATTTAACTTGAAAAATTTTGATGCATAATTGTGTCCTATTTACATAAACTAACTATAAGATTGTTTCAGAACATATTGGAATTCAGTTACAAAAATAAAAAATAATATTCAAATGAAAAAAGTATGAAAATACATCCTTTCTTAAAACTGCAGAAGCAGAGCCTTGTTTTAAAAATTTATTTAATTTTAAATAATCCGAAGAAGTCAAATTTTCAATATATAAAAATGTTAAAGGAGGAATAGCACGGGCTGGAGCAAGTATCTATTTTTATTATTTACGACTTTCTTTTTTTTTTTCAGTAACTGTGGAGTGCCAGTTTCTGAACTTAAATATACAAATTTGTGATAATATACATTTCTATAAAATACTGAAAGTGAACCAACATCATGATATGATGATCACCATCTAAATTACATATGCTCATCATTATGATGAGCATATGTAATTGATGCGATGATTATATCATATTATCATCGCAATCATCATGATCATCACCTGGTAAGACGATTTAATTGAAATTTTATTACGCATATATTTTATGAAATGTTTTATGAAATTTTATTACGTATTACGTAATACGATATTTTACTGAAATTTTATTTAAGGGGCTCTATGAAAAAATTGCGATGACGTACTGTCATCCTCATCTTCTTTGAACCCCTATCTGTTTTTACTTACTTTTTTTTTTATGAAGCACGAAGTTGTAATTCTTATGTTATAAAACAGAAAAAAAAAAAAAGGACAAAGACTTTTTTAAAATCTGTTTACTTCTAAATTTATCAGGGTTTCACTGTCGATTTAAAAAAAGTCTGAATAAACTTTTGCCATTGGTAATTTTTCTCTTGTTTAGTCAAATGTAGCTAAAAAAAATCAAATAGTATAAAAATGTTAGAAAAATACTTCAAAATAAAAAACAAACAAAAAAATTATATACTATAGAAAAAACATGTATCTAATCATTCATATAATCTTTACATTTTTAAATATGTTTATGTTTTTATGTTTGTTTGTGTTCTGTTTATTCTCTGATGCAGCGTGAGCTCAGTAACTAGCTACTTACTCCAACTACAAAACCGACACTCACCTTAGACTCCTGTATTTTGTTAGATGCAGTATTTTTCCTAATGCACTTCCAGAGCTTCATGCCTGGTTTTCTCAAAGTACTTTTGCGGGAAGTAACTCCTTTTAACTACTCCAGGTCAGGTCAGGATAATCAAGATCAATCTTGCTACTGGTATTACGTAACCCAGTACCACCTGCCACAAATCCTGCTGCCTTGCAGAGTGTGCTCTTCTTAGGCAAAGGCTAGGAGAATTAAACTCCGACTAAAAATTCCCCTGCCTTGGGGCTCTTGGTTAAGTAAAGGCTAGAGATGCTCTCTCGATAAAAATACTCATCTTGGGCAGATGTTAACTGCATCCAGCTTAATATCCCCTGCCTTGGGGCTCTCGGTTGAGTAAAGGCTACCCAGCCGGCAAATAACGTTGAAATAACGTTGAAATATCGTTGAAACCTAACGTTGAATTAACGTTGGTTTAACGTTTAGAATGAAAGTTTTTTTCAACGTTGATTTATCAACGTTAAATCAACGTTAGATTCAAACGTTATATCAACGTTAATTCGACGCAAAAAAACGTTACAACAACGTTGAATTTACGTTGATACAACGTTTAAAATGATAGTTTTTTTAACGTTGATTTATCAACGTTAAACGACTGTAAATTACTTTTTTACCATCAAAACGTGCTATGTATGTCAAAATGTATATATGTAAATAAACGTGCTATGTGCGTCAGAATATGATCACCATCAAAACGTACTATGCATGTACATTAGTGTTGCTGTACATTATCAAGGTATATTATGGATATTAAATCTATTCATAGTCTATACTTAGACCATTTAGAACTTTTTCAGTTTAGTTTAGTTAAAATAGCTAGGTATGATTAAAGAAAGAGATAAAACTTGTTTTATTCAAAAATACATATTCAAATATTACATATATTTACATGTAATTGAATAAAATCTACACAAATTTCTTCTCTTTTCCACCACCTTTTTGAAATAAAGCGTAATTTAGAAAGTCAAACAATGTTCCATTAACCGAGGGTTTTTTTGGTCCATTGAGTACAATATAAGAAGCTATAAATAAAAAAATATATTAAAAAAAAAAAAAAAAAGGGAAGATTTAAAAAATAAATAATGAATGGAAAAGTGTTACAAATTATGAAGGTATATCTTTTTCAACGCCATATAGATTAGTGTTCTTAAAACATATTTTTCCACCTTTGCCCTTCATATCCATGGAGGCCATATAACTTTTCGAAAATACTCTGAGTTTTTAAAAAATAATATAACTGTTAGTTGGTTATTAATAACTTTTTCAAATATTTAATTTAAATAAAACAACCTTTTTAATATATT